TTCACTCTCTCCTGTGTCCAGCCATCATTCCTCACTGCTTTTCTCACCTTTAATCTCTCTCCTTTGGCTTCTTTGTTTCTTTTCATAAGCTAGAAGCCAGAAAATGTCGAGTAGGAAATAAAAGGAAAATATTTAACAGAGAGAGCAATTAACTACTATGTCCCTCAGCAAGTGGTGTCTTCTTTCTTTTGGCACCTTCAAAGGCCACAGGACACTTCCACCAGATGGCATGGTCCACTAGCAGCTGCAGAGTGGACTCTGGGGAAGAAAYTGGGATGAAGCTTGATGTCCATGTTACACCAAGAGCTAAATAAGACGGTCCCTTTAGTCCATATGATTCCATGCTTCTAAGAAGACATCACAGTATGTAGTCAAAGCTAGAGCACTTACTGCTGTGTTTCATATGGGACATTTCAAAAATGGTTGGGACATCACTACTGTCGGGGTGCATGTCCAGGATGCACAGAGCGGGAAAAAACGACTAGAGGACACWTTCAGGGACAATCCAAGGTGGCAGACTATGAACTGAACCAAGTTATTTTTTTTTAATAGGCACAACAGAGCCTCTCAAAAGCCTCCCTAGACGGTTGTACTTTGGGGAGAAACGGACACTGAAAACCTTCCCGTGCCAGAGGATACGGGGAACCTGCACAAACTGCGGGGACGTGCACAGTGCCAGCTGCTCGTTGATGTGCAAAGAGCCATCAGAGGCAGGTGCTTGTCACTCTCAGAGAGCGGGGGCTGAACAAATGAATGCCACTTACACTAGTATAGCAATTTTTCTGTTTTTAATTTATCTACATCTTATTTGACACCTCAGGGTAATCATTTGGCCTCTGCTGTTCCATCTATGTCCTCGTTTTTCTAATTTCTGTCATGTCTTCCTAATTAATATTGCCCAAACCTATCCTTTTCTCACTCTCTTCTCTGTTAAAACATTTTCATAGAACGTGGTTGTCTCTATATTTCACTATTTTAATGTCTTTAAATGTCTTCTCAAAATGTGTCCTGTGTGACAACAGTGAGTACTTATGAAATTAGGTCTGTGTCGTAGCATCATCCTACCACAGAGGCAGAGTTAGCCATGTGTGGGTAATGTGAAGACTTGCTCTTCTCACATTTAGTTGTCCCAGCAGTCTTAATTACATCATTTTACCACAGCTTGTCTTTATATCTGGTACACAAACTGGTCACACTTAAATAATCTGCATGTCTAAGAAGGGAAATATCACTTGAACTGTTCTGACCAACATACGGATACGCTGCATGATCTTGGGCAATGAGGAAACAAACAGGAAAACCCACATGTGGTGGGAAGGCAAAGAGGCTCACTGCAGTCTTTGCCTTGTGCAGAAACAAGATACAGCTCTAGGATCCTGCAGATGTTGAAGCTCAGACTGCCATAAAATGTGCCTAAGTATATCAGCCTGCCCTGTAAAAGGGAGTCAGTGGCTTCAAGAGCACCTGATTAAGTGTAATTTTTCCCGAGTGAAAGAACAATTCCTGTGGTGGTCCTGGCATTTCCGTTGGAATGGAGAGCATGCCTCAGGTAAGGTGGAACAGGCTGACAGTGAAAGAAGACTGTGTGAAGGGGCTTCAGATATTTGCTGGACAGTGAGTGAAGGAACAGCAGGTAAAGAGAGAGAGGACAGAGGTGTGAAAGGCTTTGAAGGTGAAATCAATAAGTTTGAAGACACRAGGGTTGAAAAGGCAGCTCCTGAGGAGAATCCCAAAGAGATGCTGGTGTGGTCAGTGCAGTGGAGGCTGAGCCCTTGATACAGGTAGGGAGGGTATCTGGGAGGGAGAAGTGAGGTCTGCACTMGGACATATTTCAGCTGCCTGGGGAAAGGGGAAGAAAAAAAAAACAAAACAAAAGCAGAGGTTTCTAAAATTGTAGCAGAAAATGCAGGATTTGGATCAAGTGTGGAGGTGTGCAGCAAGATGAAAGTCTTGGGCAAAGACAGGTCCTGATCTAAATGAGTGAGAAGATAGGGTTGTTTCTCTGACAGTCTTACACACTCTAGCAAGCAGACCTGCAGTAGAAAACAACAAACATACTGTGACTGTTTTCACATTGTATGCACACATTTTCACCACACTGGTGTTTGCTGCAGTTCCCATTCCTTGCTGCTCTGTGTCAGTGCAGAGGTAGCCTCTGAACGGGGATGTGAAAGGCTTCCTCACCACAGCGTAGCTTCTGCAGAGCACGTAAGTGCTAAATTGTTCTCTGCAGGATGTCTGACTCCAGGAAACCAGGAGAAAGGCTTATGATTAATCTCTTTTTCTAACACTACCATGGCTGCCCCTACCCTGTCCTGCTTTTAGGGGCCAAAACAGGTTCTGTATCTGTCTTTGTGTTGAAAGTGCAGTGGAGGTCCTTTTTTTGAGATGCTATACCGTCAATTCGCTCGCTTTGGGCCAGAGAGAGAAAGCAGCAAACAAAATATTTCCTGTTCCCATGGACAAAACATAGTGACATTTTTCTACAGATTTAAGTTTGTCTTACGCAAAACTTCTTGACAATTTCTCAACAACCTGGGGCTAGACTATGTTACAGCAATTTACTTAGGATCTGCATAGCAGATATATTTTAAAAGGTCATACAATGGTGGAATATCTTTCTSGGGCCAGACAGAATTGTCCCCCTAGGCTACCAGTTGCAGAGCTCTATCTGGGTTCAAAATAAAAAGGGAATCAGAATACAAATGCTGTGTTTTTTACATGTTGAGTTTTGGGAAAAGTTTAAGTAGAAAAGGAAAGTATTTTCTTACTTTCAAAATTAACAAAATATACTTTTTCCCTAGGAAAAAATAATTTCCCCCTGGAAAAAAGAAATCTTGACTTTCTGGACACACACACACACAAAAATACAATCAGCTCCAGCTTCAGTGGACTTAGTAAAGTCAGAAAGTCCTAATTATCAGTGATACCTCAATGTTTTTGTATTATTCTAAATTTGAAGGGCATTAGGGTGGGATGTTTTGAAGAGCAATGTGACATACTTGCAATAATTAGCTACCTCTATTTCTATGCCTCTGGAGATGGTGCAAATGGCAGTGCAGTCAACATGTTTGCTAACACCAACAGCCACACGAGGCCCACAGCTCTAAGGGAAACTGAGTTRAAGTCAGAGAAAACTGCCTTGCTCTGATCTTTTGCCTGAGACTTGACTGGACTTGGATAGAAGAAGCTAAGACAAGCTGATAAGGTCAGCCCCATGTCCCTTCCCCACAAACTAAGTATATTTTACCATCCTCCTTTTAAGACTTGTAGCCACAGAGCTTTTGAAATAAGAGGAAAAAAAGTAAATCTCTACCCAGAAGATATTYTTTGCCTCTAACCTATCTTTTTCTCCATTGATCCTTGGTCTTCTCCTCTGTGAATATGACAGCTAGGCTTAGCACACCCCTAAATGTTAATTGCGACAGGAATGGCAATCTCATTGCCAAAGCTCCATTTCTAACTCACTGGTATCCTGTGCAGATCTAGTCACTTTGTTCTGAGTTTTAACATGGTTAGGGCTCTAAAAAGGCAGGTCGACTCTGAAGAGAATGGGTCTGACCCTCTAGTTTCTCTTTTGAATCTCCCAGCTGCTTCTGCACACTGAATTCTCTCTTCATTTATTCCTCTAGTACTTGAGGTTGCAGGAATCCAATGATGGGGGATATGGTGTCACCTTGTATTAGGGGACAGATCTCCTTCAAAGAGCAAAACTGCCTGTTCAGACACTCTGTGGCTGGGCGGAAAGGACTGTGCACAGACAAGTGGCACCAAACTCTTGGAAGTTTCCCTCTGTCATGTACCAAAGCTTGCAAGGAATGAGCCAAGAGCTCTGGGAAGTGGGCTGTCCAGGAGGGGAAGGCAGCATGGGAAGGGGACTCAGAGTGGCTTTAAAAACAAATGATAATCCAACATGTCTTAAGACTGGAGGTTTGCCTGAGAAGCAGGGTCCATATCAGCTGCAAGTAACTGGAAAAACAAAAGCAGACATTTCTCCCATTGCACGTTTCATGGAGAGCGTGCAAAGAATGTGGGATGGTGGAGAACCAGAAACTGAGCATCCTATTCCTGGGGACAAGGATGGGTTCAATTCCTTGTTCCCCAGGTGTAATGGGGCCAAATGTGGCAGCATCCCTGCTCCATGGCACTGAGGGACGCTTTACCGCAACACCCTCGCAAGCAGCAGGGTCTCACTGAGACACCAGGTGCCCATCAACACATGGCTCTTGGCCAGCACCCTGTGGGTGCAGCTTGAGGGGCCCAACCCAGCGGACCGGGCCCTGCTCAGACTCCACGCTGATGGGCTGGGCCAGTGGCAAGGCAGAGCAGTGAGCACACTGCTGCTTTCAAGAGGGTAAACCCAGGCTCTCAACAGGGTCTGTTAGCTGAGGTCTGGCTTGGGTTACTTGCATCTGCTGTGGCTCTGGCTCAGGTCTGACAGGCTCAGAAAATAGGCTGCAAKCCACTGAGTAGCCCTCTTCACACAAGACCATGTTTTCAGTGGGTGTTTTTCAGCCCCTGTTAATTTGTAACTCATGCATTACATCTGCTGGAAAGCTGCCCTGCTTTTCTGTCTTATCTTCAGCCCCACAACCTGTTTTTCCCTTCCATTAAATATAGAAATTCTCCTTCTGTCACACACTCCCACTAATGACCCCATCAGCAATTCACCTACCCTCTGGTCCCATGCATTTTCCTCCAAATATTTTAGTCTCCTCTGCACCCTCCCACCTCCCTTGCCAAGGGCTGGCATTTTCTGCCCCACCACCAATATCCACAGCACCCTGCTGCTGGGGAGATCCCAACCTTCACCTCTAAGCAGCGCACACAATTCTGAGCATGAGACAATTAGGAGAGAAAGAGGGAAGGGGGAAAGTATCGACAGGAGTAAATCGAGAGAAATCATAAAGCTTAAGCAGAGAGAAAGCAGTTTGAAAGGTAAAGTATTCAGAGAAAGCCCTTTCCTGGATGAATCTAATTGTTTTGTTATCTTTACCCACCAAAGCATTTACTTTGGTTTGTCGCCCGATCCACAAACACTTTCGAGGAGATGACATTACCGAAAGGCAGGAACATCTGCATCAGCTCAGCATCCCCAAACTCCTGGGGCAGATGGTAGATAAACAGGTTACAGCCCTCTGGTCCTGTGAAGAAAAGAGGAAGACTCATGAACAGAGAGAAATAGGATATAAGAAAGCACATGGTGGAGATTTACTTCAGTGTCCCTTCTCTGATTGCTGGGGGAATCTTCTCTAGCAATCAGTCTGATCCTTATCGAGTCTCAGCAAAATCATTTCTTGGTTCATCTGCACATCTGCCAAAGTCTGGCCTTCTTCAGCTTGGAACATAAGCTGGKGTGTGTGTGTTTTCAGTGTCTTTTTTTTTGGCTAATCTGTGCACTGTTACTGTTTAGTCCGCTTTAGAAATCTTTATGACCAACAAAGCAGCATCTGTTATAAAGACCTTCCCATACTAGATGGTTGTGCAAGAGATAGGATAAATGGCTTTAAATCAAAAATCTGAGACTTCAGGACAGGAATTCTCTTTTTCCCTTAATGCTGTAACAAATATTATTACAGCCTTCAGAGTGTACTTGGAAAAAATGTCCAGGAAGACTTTTTGTTGGAAAAATACCATTTTGTTAAAGTTGAGACTCTCAGAAAATGTTCTGTTGAAATTGCATTTTGGAGCAGAAAAGTGAAAAACCTGCCTCTGCTTGAAGGTACAGGAATAAAACTTTTCAAAATGACTTTTTAATGTATTAAAATGTAAGATACCCTGTACATATAGCAAAAGTCATACTGTACATATAGCAAAAATCAAAAGGAAACATTTGCTTCCTTATTTGCATTGCTCATTAGCAGAAAACTGCATAGTTTGAAGAAGCGGAGATTGAGTTTTGTTTGTTTGTTTTCTGTTGGGACTATTTCCAATGGGGCTTTCAGTTTCTGGCCACTGATGCATTGACCCTGACAGGTAACTCTAGCTCTGGTTCACTCTAGAGAGGCTGAAGTGAATTAGTGCACATTCCCTGCCACAAGGGAAGGGGACAGAGGGMAATGGGGTTTTCTCCTTCCCCAGGCCCATGTACCTGTGACCTAACTGAGCCAGACTTCTCCGTTTATGACTTTCTTTCTGGGGAAAGAAAGGTTCTTTTTTCCTTTTTTTTTTTTTTTTTAATAATACTCTCACTTTCTTCATCAGGGCATAATTACGGTGTCATAACAGAGCAAATTACAACTTTGCCTTTCCTGTTACAGAGAGGAGTTTTCCTAGATGCTCCCACCTTCTATTAGCCATTACTCATCCCCCCGGCTGGCAGGAGAAGTACGGCAAAGTCAGGATCCTGACAGATGCCCATTTAAAGCTCATTAAAATTCCTGGGCCTCAGCATGATTGAAGTCACAGGCTCTCCACATTTCCTTTTGGATTAATGGAAAATGAAGCCCTAATGAATATTTGCTAAGCACAATTTTCCCCACTAATTTGCTAAAAGGACTGTCACGAAGGAACAGCTGATCCTTTGCATCTCACGCATTTCCTAGAGGTCATGAGGATGGTGATAGGGTTTCTTCCAAATAGGGGGGACAGTGGTATGGTGGGATAATTAACTAATTAGGCACCCAGTCATCTGCTTAGCTAAATTACTTTTGAACCTCCATGGCCCACATTCAGACTCCCCTGTTTCATGCCAAGATCTTCCATCTCTCCCTGCAATGCSGTCTGTCTCTCTCCTATTCTCCCCAATCAACAACCATCCCTTTCCCAGTCCTTGCTGCAGTTCAGTTCCACCCGATGTGGCATTATTGGCAGGATAAACTAGATATGTAACAGTCTGAAAGTGTTAAACAAACACTGACCCCCTGAGGTGTCTGTTAGAGTAGAAGAAAATTCTGCCCAGGAGAAGACCATGGTCCAGAATAGCAGGGAAAAAAATCATTTGTTCATCTGAACATACCCCAGAGCACTTCTGCTGTGGGATTTGAGATCCACATTTCAATAGAATGGGTAAAATTTGGCCTTGCTGCAATTAGTGGCAAAATTCCCACCGACATCACCAGAGCCAGCAGTTTGCTCTGCAAAACTGGCAAATTCTTTCAAAAAYGCCAGCTGCATTTCCTGGGGTCTTGGATGTGTTGTACATGAGTAGGGATGCTGCCCGTATGTGCTGAGAAACACCTACTAAGGCATAAGGCAGATGAGGAGGCAAGTAACTTCCTCTACACCAAGCTCAGAGGTTGGCTCAAGGAGAGAACTACCCTTAGCTAACCTTCAAGTCACCATTGCCTCACACTGCTGGCCAAGAGGGAGAGAGATCAGGGAGATGTGATCTTTGGAAGGCTCAGTTCTGCTCCAAAACATGCAAGCGAAACTCATACTGTGGCTTCCTGCACTGATGCAGACATTCAAGGCCAAACTCATTTTGTTTCTAACTAAAGAGGATTTTTGCTCATTTTGAGTGTTGCAAACTTCACCTGCTACTGCAAAACAACCCGGGGTAGTTTGATCGGTTTTCCTACCTTCCTTCCGTCCACATATAAAAATACTGCCCTTAGGATTAAACAAGCCATTTCTTGTTACACCCATCCATGCATACGATGGCTTTTACAGTTAGCCTTCTCAGTACAGAATTCACAAAACTAGGTTTCTCTGTCTCCACTCTTCTACTTTGTTTTTGTTTTGCTTGGGTCTAGTAAAACTGGGCACTGCATGGAAAACTTCGCATTATATGGCCACCCCTGGGTGTATATGTATAGATCTCTGAGAAACTGAGCTCATTAAACACCCAGCTCAGAATCCTAGAAATCAGGATCATTGGACTGGGGGGAATTATCACAGCTGAAAAGACAAAATTTCACTGAAGACTTCAACTGTTGAGACAGAAGTCCAGTTTTGGGCTGGGTTAATGGATTGCTGGAGACATTACACCTAGCAGTTCAGGGATGAATATAGTGCCAGAATATAGTGCCACTGCCCAAGAGTTGGCTAAAGAGTTAGCTCTGACAACATATTACAAAAAGAGAATCCAGGTTCATTTTTACCCTGGTACCTACCCTAACTGTTGGATTTATTGCCTAATAAAATATATATTTCTGTTCATTAATACTCTATAAATAGAGATGATTCAAACAAAATGGGAAGAAAAGTTGTAAGAAATATGTTTTATCAATGTTTTTTACATTATATGCAAATCATGCTGGATAGTGGAAGAAACTGCTAATGAGGGCAGTGGACYACATGGTAGAGAGCTCCATAGTGGATCCATGTTGGTTTGGCCTGGTTGGACCTATTTATTCCCACTGAACCRTTGCTATACCAGTACTCCATAGCCTCAGTRCTGGGGTGCACATAGGCCGACTCGGCCTGCCCCTGCCTGTCCAGGCAGGGTCCTTCCAACAAAAATTAAAAACAAGGTGTCCAATAAGGCGTGCAAAGTTAGCAGGCAACCCTTGGGCCAGCTGCACAGCAAGTGGGACGTATGTCTCCTTTCTGCAGCACATACTGAAGGACTGTGAATTCTTTGCCCTTTCTCCTGCTTCTACCTGCAGGCCAGATAGGAGTCACAAGCCTGCCCCACTCCAGTTTAACATCTAAGTGTATTTCTGAGTTTCAAAAGCCACGTCAGAATGAGCAATACCATACCAATTCAAAATTAGGCCGGAAGTTTGCCTGTCTGACTCGGTCCAAATCAAAACTTCAACTTTGATCATTCTGGATCAGTTCCACCCTGTGCAAGTCGTCAGCTGCTGACGGCCTCAGCACTCACATGGAAGCAGTGACTAATCTCTACAGGAACATGGAGCAGCTCTGGGCTTGTTATCCAGCCAGGATGCAGGACCTGAGAGTCAGCACTGTTATTAACAATGCGACCATCAGTGTTACTGTTGTGCCAGGGCTGGTTCATTAACAAATCAATGTTTGTGCAGATCCTCGCAAACATCTTTTCAGCACTGAGTGTTATTATTATTATTATTATTATTAGAGTTTCCCCTTGCTGTGTTTTCCTGTTAAAGGTTAGAGAGCCTTAAAGGTCTCGGCCCTGCGCTAAGATGGAGTGCTGTGCCTTGGAGATCCTCCCCTCCAGGAAGCAGCAGGGAAAGCCACAGCAGCCAAGCACTGCAGGTGAGTGCACAACATTCACAAGGGCAACCTGGGCAGGACTGTGGTCCATCTTACACATCTGCTCCCCAACCACGCTCAATATCAGCTGCTTGCAGGAAGGAGCAAGGTGATATGAGACAACTTGTCCACTGGGTGACACTCGCCCTCAACCCAAAGAGACGAAGCGTGCCTTATCAACAGAGGGGTCTTTGGGCAGTGGGTATTCAAAGCATGCAGAACATTCATTGCTTCTGGTTGCTCCTGGCCCAATGCTAGGCTAAGCAATGGTCTGCTTGCCATTTTGTCCTGTGCTTAATCTAGCCCCAGTAAGTAATAAAAAGCAAAGTCCTTCAGCATGGGGGAAACATCTCTGTAATGATATGTTAGGTCTGTGCATCTGTTCTCACAGCAGGGACGTGTACTAGAGCTAATCAGGAGCTGGAAGTTGTGTTCCCCAGGAAATTCTGACATCAGAAAAAAATTAATTCCAAATTAGATCGAAATGCCAACACTCTAATTTTCTCACAAAATGAGATTTCTCCCCCAAAGTAGTTTTAGGCCATCAGAACGTTTTAGTTTGATAGTGTAATCTCGACATTCGTTTCATTCTGACTGTTACACCATATTAAAATATTAAATATCATTATATATATAATAACACGCATAACAGAATATATCTGAATTAGTGATCTAATAGAGGATAAAAGTTGAAATGTAATTATTTAAAATGAGGGTCTGCACACTAAGCTGAGGCACCTAACTTAAACATGTTACTTAGGTAAGCAGTCTCCTGCTAATCAAAAAAGAGGAACAGACTCCCTAGAGGACAGCTGGGAATACCTAAGTGGATTGCCCTCCAAGGATCTCACTTCTCTCCACTGACAGCAAGAGGAACATAAGGGACTAGACTCGGGACTCTTCATTCAGACAAGCCTTTGGGTGTGCAACATTAAATGGCATGGATACCTCCCAAAACATTTGGCTTTGAGAAAGAAAAGCAAAAGGGAAAAATAAAAGGAAGAAAGAGGGACAGATTTCAGCACTGGAAAATAAGAAGCTTTTATACCAAACAGGCACACAATAAATAGTGCAAGATTTGCCTCTCTTTACTTTTCATGCCTACATGGCAACGATCTCCTACTGCAGACTAGTTAAACCAGCGTGGAGRAATTGGTAGTTGTACATCATTCATCCTATCCCAGCATAGATGTCGTGCTCTGCTTTCTCTCCAGATTATCAAGGATCAGGCTGAAAGGCCTAGACCAGCTGATAATCTAAATAGTAGGTGTCTGAAACTGCTTTAACTGAAGAGTCACCCGCGTTTTGTTTTCAATTAAATCCCTTATTGCAATGCTGTTGGATTTCTGATCTGCATTATTGTTGACTGTCTCTAACACRGGTCCCCACTGGATGTTACTGCCTGTGTTGCTACCCAGACTCTCCATGGCCTGTGCACATCAGCATGCTCCCCTCCCTGGGGGCTGGGAAGAAGATAGCAGCAGCTATTTCCCATGAGGACGTTCCTGCAGATTATTGTTAGTGCTGATGATGCTGTGACACACACAGAAACACAGAAGAGACTTCGTAGACCAAGGATTCAAAGCAATGGAGCATTTGATGGCCTCTCTCTACGCATATGAGGAAGGGAAGCGGTGAGGTGGGGGTGACATGCCAGGGGCAGAAAGGGGAACAGCCCCTTCACTCACCTTCTCTCTGTTGCTGTGGGATCATGGGAGGCGGCTGTGGGAACGCTTGGCTAATCTGGCCATAAGCAGCAGGATAAGCAGCTATAAGGGAAAGGGAGAGAAGAAAGAGGGAGAGATTTCAGCAGTGGGAAACAAGATGCTTTCACACCAAATAATCACACAAGCTGGAGGTGGAGCTGTTCCACCTGCATTTCAACACTGTAGAAGGAGAGATCTTATATAGCCTGGGATGTAGTAGCACCATAAGAGTGGTGCTCCAGGTGGTGTCACTTTGCTGTGAGCACACATCATCCCTTCAGCTTAGTCAGCAGCAAACCTGGGACCACCCACTGGTGCAAATGGGGCACTCCACTGAGATCTTCCCCAGCAGAGACCCATAACCATCCCAGATGGGACCACAAACACATTCATTCATGAGCCCAGCATGTTGATGCCTTGTATCTATTTGGTGAGCACACTCAGTGTTTCTCTAAGTGATCTCCCCTGCACTCTGGTTATTTCCTATGTTCATAAAAATGGTTCACACATGTGTTTTCTCTTTCTTACTCTAGCCTTCATATGCACATATACTACATGTAAAGATTCACATATACGCTCTCAGGTATACATTTTCTTTCACATATATAGGTACTTTCTTGCGCAAACACAGCGGGAACAGCGTGCAGCAATTAAACAATTTTCCCCACCTCGACTCCCCCACCAAGCAGACAAGGGGAGCCACAGATGGTGGATGATGTGCCTCGCTGCTAAAAATACAGAGTACGGGTCACCTGTGAGCCCAGAGAGAGGGGAGGAAAGGGGCATGTGTGTGCAGAGGGGTTAATTAACAGCTCAAAGGKTTGAGCTGCTTCCCATCTATCAAGCCTCACAAGCAATAAATGACAATAACTAAAACACCAGCAAATGAAGCCCTACATGGAGAATTAAATTAAGTTTCCAGATACAGCGCTGACATGAGATAATAGCCATTCCTCGGCGGGAGGCCATGATTGCTCCAGTTACCACAGGAAATAATGACTTTGGGGTGGCAGCTTCCTCACAGCATTTGCCACGGACACCTCGCGGGGGGAGGCTGAACACAGCAGGGTCGTGGTCTGTACCAGGTCACATTGGCTGGTGTCAGTCCATCAACTGCAAAGGAGCTGCTCGGCACAGAGTGTGACGTGAGAGCGAGTGGAGGCTGACCCTTTGGGATCAGGTAGAAAGCTGCTGGGGAATGGAGAGTGTATCTACGTAACCCCTTAGCAAGCCTCGGAGTAACAAGCTGGGGTACTAGCAGTGATGTAGGAGGGATAGCCCTGGAGCCGGTGGCTTCCTGGGAAAGCTGGGCAGCCTCCTTGGGGCTTTCTGCTGTGACAACTGGACCTCCAGCCTTGCCAGAGCTAGTGAACACTAACATCTCTCATGTGGCCAAACTACAGAGTGGAGGCACCCTAAAATGGGGTTTGTACAGGCATACTCTGTCAGGCACAGCAGGAGAGGCTCTGCATGGTCTGGCTACCCACCTCTCTGCTCACTGGAAAACTAAACAGCGTCCACTGGATCAGTGGGGTTACTGGGGTCATCTTCCACTTGTTTACTGTCACAGGCAGTCCTGACTCTGTGCAACCAATAAAGCTGCACTGAGGCACTGGGTTAGTGGGAGTCTTTCCCTAGAGTTTCATGAGAGAAGGTTACCCCCTTGGGGAGAGAAGAACCTGGAAACTTTATGCTTGTTTTCATCTTGAGCACAAATTTAACCTGGCACCCTGGTGTCCTGGCTTGCCCCTGTATCAGCCAGCTGCTCCCTTCCTCCAGCCCCCTCAGGTGTGTTCATATATTAAAGACTTTAGAGAAATTAAAGGTTTATTGGGAGAAAGTGTTAATACTAACGACCTGCGTACTGCTGCACTCCAGCGTAGGCTTGCTGCAAGGGGTCTGCTGCAGTGGGGCTCTGTGCTGTGGAGACAAAGAGAGAGAGAGAAGGAATTAAGGGACTGAAAATACAATAGACACTCACTTTTTCTCCCCTATGTGGTGTGGGACAGCTGAATCCAGAGACTGAAGGCCACAGAACAGGAGCAGCTCACTTGCCCTATGGACACGACTGCACAGAACCCCCCATGCCTTGCAGAGGGGCTCCATCTCCCAGCTCTGATCTTGTGGCACTTTGCAGTAAAGGCACAAAAATGCTAGCAAATATCCTACAAGGATGACTGTACATGATAGGGTCCTCAAAGGACTGGGGTGAGTCCCAAGAATTYTTCCACATGAGAGCATCCTTACATCCCCTATAGTCAGGACGGCTTGCCTAGGCACACATGGGTTGTCCTACTCCATACTTGGGTGGGAAGTGAGCCTCAGTATGTGCATCTTGAAGTAAAGCCATTGCCAGTGTTGAGTGCTCTAGTGAAAACCTGCACTGTCCAGAGCACCTGGAAACAGCTCATCCCGCACTGAAATCTTCACGTCTGGAAGGGAGGACAAACTCAAAAAAAAATTGAGAAACCTTGTATCCAAACCCTCAGTCTAAGTCTAGGGTCAAGTTTAAGTTACGGAGTCCATTTCTGATCACACAGATTATTGGCACTGTGGTCACCAATCCCCAGAAGCCCTCATCTTAACCCAGGACTGACACTGTGCTAAGTGCTGTGCAAACTTAGATCTAAGTGAAAGGTAAAGTCACATAAAACTTCCAGTTAGAGCATGAAACGACAGCTTCAGTGTGACAGGAAGGGGAACAGAACAGAGCACTCACTCCTGCCAGCGTGACGTCCCTTCGAAGGACCGCAGCCTGCCGTGGGGCAGAGCAGGAGCTTGGAGGGAAGGGGAACACCACTTGTCTGCTCCACAGAGGATGCTGTGAGTCCCTGCATAAAGCACGCAGTCTCTTGCTGGCTTCAAAGTGCCCTGTCTCTCTTTACAAGTGTGCCTATCTCCTCCCTAAAATTGTTTATTTTTGTGAAACTTTGAAGTCTAGCTCAAATACAACCAAAGCCATTTTTTTTCCCTTTTTTTTTTCCCTTGTGGTTGACAGGGAGAGAGTGGAGAGAGAGAAAGAGAAAAATGCGTCGAATAAGCTCTTTCTTTATCTGCAGCAATAAAATATTTAAAGTAAAGCTTGGCTGAACCTCCAGTCCAAATGTCACCTTGTCCCTAATATTTCACTTCTTGTTATGAGTTTAATTTGTATTTATTGGTGTTGTATAGTTCTACGTTTATGCAGTCCCTCTGGCTTTGTACTTTTTGGATGGTCCCTTACGGAACTGCCATTTTCCCATTTTCCTTCTCATCTTCTTGCTTTCTACAAGAAGGGAAGTGTGTCTGGAGACAAGGGCTTGGATGTAGGTCCAAACCTTTCTCCACCTACAGATGTAGTCTTGGAAGAAAATTTGGTGCCACTGACCTACCCAAGGAGAGTAGGGGTAGGAGATACCAACTATGAAAGACACTAACTGCATGCCGAGGTGCAGACGAGGCTGGCAACTGTGAGATGGCAAATGGACAGTGTTTTAATACAGATGCAACTACCCATTTGAACCTTATTGTTAAAAAAGTAGCAATGATCGTGATGGAAGCTTACAGGGTTTCCTRATACACTTATGTCTCAAAATGCAAGGAAGAATGATGAGAAGATACAACTTGGATGGGAGAAATCCTGCTCTCCAGCTAAGTCTTGGTGAGGCCAATTGATTATGGTGGTCAGTGGATCAAGGGCTTTGAGGACGAAGTAGACACAGCAGGGAACAAGTGCAATCATTGGCCTGGAAGGTGGTTGGCTGAACTCCTAGCTGACTTTCTAAAGACAAGCCCCTCTGTGTCTGTAAGTGAAATGGGAAAACACTGAATTACTATAAGAACTTTCCCCATTGAAGAGAGATGCAAGGAGAATTCTTTAAAGCCTATGGAGATCAGAGGAAGGCACAGCAGAACCACAAAGCAGTGCTGTTAAAGAGTAAATGCTGAAGGAATAAACTGAAAGAAATGAAACTGAAAGGAAATGCTTGCAAAATATAAAAATTGCTTCCATTTATTTCTGTTTCTTGAGGAAGACAATAACTACACTTCATTTTTATAGTCTCTGCTCAAAACTATCTTCATCTAAAAACAGATTGCTCATGCAGAGTGCACATGAATGGTAAAAAGTGCAGTTATGGGTAAATGAGTGATTAGTTATGCCCTGCCCTCATTGGGAGAAAGTATACTAGTAACTTGGACCCTTCAAAATGACCAAGAGCAATCAGGGGGAAGATAGCTCCTGAAGAAGGTGGCAGGACAAATGGTAAAGGGGGCCCAGCTTGGAAAGACAACCATAGTACTGCAGTCTAAAGTAAACAGGATGATCTACTATATCTGAACCATATGCCCTTCCTCAGTGCTACYCCTGTGTTTATGGAGCTTCATGCACAAGGTTTCCATGCTGACATTGCTCAGCCTGTAGGCCTTGCAGAAAGGCAGTGCAGAAACTGTGGCTGGAGTCCAGGCATGATCACTGCTCTCTCACACACTAAGAATTAGCAGTGACTGCCTCTTCTTTGATACAAGGACAAGTCATTGAGCAATCCCTTGCTGACTCTGCTTCTTTTGCTTTCTTTCTTGCCTTAGCTGTGAATGCATGAAAACTCTTTGGTTTCCCAGCTATAGCTCAGTCTATGTCCTGACAAGAAGGTGCTATGACAACAGAAATCTTCAAATGAGGATCGCAGTCGGTAGCTCCTTTCATCACTGGGTCTCAAGAGGGAGATAAACCACCAGCTCCCACTGATTATGTTAGCTCATCCCCCTTGGGTGCTCTTGGAGAATACTGGCAGTCAGAGAGTACCTCTTTCCCTGGCAGAGTTTGTGCCAATTTGCTGAAATGCGTCATTGGGCTGGTTCCATTTTAACGATATTCCTTTGAAAACTGGGAAAGCTGTCCGTCTGGGTGGGTTTCTGACAGAAACCTGCTTTTCTCTGTTATGCTGCTCATGTGACAAGCTCCTTTGCAAGCTCATGTCAGCAGCCCCAGGGTTTCAGGCAATTCAGTGAAACTTTGGGGCTTCAGAGGTTTGCCACCAACAACCCAGTGCTGGAGTTGCCCAGGTCATTGCCTGTGGGACTTGTGGTCTTACCTCTGGCTTCTTGAGCACAAAAGTGCAGGCCCTCCCTGAAGGAAGCCAAATGCTTATTCTGATTTTGATTTCGATACTTCCTCTGAATTAAACACATTTCCCCTGCACCCAGCTTTGGGTGTACACTTTCATAAACGGATTAAAGCCCAGTGTGACTGGCTTCTTCTGAATCAGTGTTAGCAGCTTCAGGAACTCCAGATGATTTAGATGGTGTCCTGGGACACACGTTGTTGCAACAGTACTGACTCAATGGAGAGCTGTTCACCTTACCCCAGCTGTGGATATCTTGCGTRTCCTTTGAGCCTTTTTCTGCTCATCATAACCAACGCAATCAACTCAGGAAGTTTACTCTGAGAATTCTTTTTAAGATTAATTATTAAAACCGGGCAAATCATTTATTTAAACATTTGAAGGTTTTTTTTCCCTCCCACACAAAGCTTTTAGAGTTCTTTACTTTCCTGGACCTTTAGGACTTGTCAGCAAGGGTATTATCTAACTGGGTGTCCCTCTCTTGGGAGACTGTTTTGTATCCCAGATCACACAAAGGATTTCTTCCCTACTCACAACATATGCACGTCAGTGGGAATACTCTCCCATGGYTTCAGTCATGCTTGAATTCAGCCTGGGAATCACTTAGTCAAAAGTAAAGAAGATATAAGKKTTTTTTTTTTTTGTGCTTGCTCTTATACAATAGAATTGTGTCAAGCATCCCTGGACACCCTTGAAAAAGAGTAAGGGAAGAGCATCTCTGGGCTGTAGCACCAGACCACATGGGAAGGCAGCAACACCCTGCTCCGGGTCTGTGTTTTATTCATAGTCTCACACCTGACCTTGGCTGTTTGGGAAAGGTAGTCACAGTGAGTYGTTACCTGCAGGGATTTAACCTGGGAGCTCTTAAAAACACAAGTGATAACCTTTGCTCAGGGAAATACTCAGTTTCCTTAGCTCCAAGAGTGTGTTTACGCAGCAAATAAAGATGTGATTTCAGTATAAGTGGATGTGCCTAAGATGGGCAACACAGACTACGAAGAGACTTGACTCCACGGCCAGCTGGGCACCCCAGCATGGTGGCACAGCAGCTTGGGCATCCGTAAGCATGTCTTCATGGTGCTGCTCGCAGCGCCACATGAATTAAACCTAGCGAAAAGCCTAACTGTCTGTGCCTCCAGCTGTAATGTGGATGAAGCCAATGACTGGTATAGATCCAGAAATCTCAAGACAGAGATTACACATCTGAGGAAGTTATGGTCATGCTGTGCTCAGTAAAGTGACAACCTGCTTACATACTAATGACCTTTGTGAAGTTCAGTAAGAGCTCAGATTTAGGAGGGGCTCGTGATCCAGAGTCAACCTTCTCCAGGGATTGCTTGTGACTGTATGCTGGAGCAATATACTTCCTAAAATTCAAAGTAGTGGGGAGACATTCATTATTTCTGTGTCTTGGCACAAGTGACCACRAGGGAAGGTTGCTTTATTTCTCCATAGGATAAACATCTTTTAATATGGTATCTTATCTATGTTCAACTKAGGCCTCAGACCCCTGTGGCCTTCATGCTCAGCTGAGGTAGTTGTGTGACCCCGCCTCAGCCTCCTTTTTTAATAATAATCATTCTTTCTCCCCATCCAGCTGACAGGCCTTCTCTATTACTACAAATATTATTGGAAGTTATCATGGCAACAAGTAATGGATCTAATAGCCCTGGAAAATGACAGACCTAATTCAGAGGTGGGATAAACTTTCTGCACTGTGAGCCTTTCTTTTAACTCTTTTCTAAAGACCTGTGAGTTTTCCAGCATCCTTTTTTAATATTGGGACTGCTGTACTCCAGAAATCCTCATGCACCTTAC